TATTGAAGTGTTAATCAATTATTGGTTGAGCAGAATTCTTGGATTCATGGGATCTAAGCAAGAAAGTCTTGTACTTGAAGGGTATGAGCATAATTCTTCGATTTGTGGAATCTAAGTAAGGAAGTCTTGGATCGAGGGTCTGAGCAGAAGTCTTGAGCCTGAGGGGTTTGAGCAAGGAAGTCATGAATCTGTGGGGTTTAAGTAGGAAGTCTCGGTCTAAGGGTATGAGCAGTAAAGTCTTGTGCTGAGGGTATAAGCAATTTTAATCATGATTTGATTATAGTGGAAAATATCTTATGCTGCAAGGGGACTGAACTACTCCCAGTTTGGGAGGAACCAATATAAATTTTTGTGTGTTCTGTTGTTATTTATTTTCTTTTGTTATTATTCCGCTATAATTAATTATCATAATCTGAATAGTGGTTTAGAATCTGACCTCTGTTTAAAAGCAAACTAACAAAAACGAATAACACAATTCAACCCCCTTCTTGTGTATTTTTCTCACTTTCAGAGCGCTCCTTCACTCTTTATTGAGTCTTCATGAAATTGTTATCAAAGTAAGTACATCATAAACAAGCAAGTTAAAGACAAAAAAAGCCGATAACTTTCAGGACTTACCAAAAATAATCTTCCTTTCTTCCATGGAGTGGGCATCTATCTGTAGGAGGGTGTCGATGAGGGGTTTTAAACATTTCCGAGAAGCTTATTTGGAGGAATAAAACCTCCGATATAACCTAGGTATTTGACAAAACTATTCAACCTCTTTTTTAGATACAAATCTTCCTGAGAAAATTCTTACTCTTTGTAGACGTACAATCCATTTCCCACAAGGAAATGCCCCTTATTCCAGTACTTGAGGAACAATTAAACATATCTACACTCCACTCCATCTCAGATAACACACACAATCACGTGAACCTTTAGGAGGGTAGGGGTGAAAAAAAGAATTGATATTCAAAATGCTTCAAGCTCTCAGAAAAAACTCCGAAGCCTCGAACGGTCGTCACTAGAGAAGTAGATCGAGTGGTTAAGCTGAATCAGTTTCATTCTCTGGTACGACCTTTCTATCCCTCATCTCTTTAATTTCTATTATTTATATATTCAAATGATTTCTTCTCTATTCTAATTTTTCACTTCTCCTTATCTATTTTTCTAATATAATTGATTTCAGAATTAAAAAGATCTTATAAACTAATTTTTTTGGAAAATCAAATATCACAACTCATTCCCTCTTGTGTTTAAATTCATGTGGTCAACAAGTGGCATCAAAGCCTAAATCATGTTATAACACATGTTATAAGACTAATTATCTTAGAAGATAATGTGATGGCTCTTTATGAACGAACCTTCGTCGTTTGATGGTGAACTGTTTTCCACGGAGAAAGCGAGAATGAATTTTTTAAAATTCCGTTGATTGTTATTTGTGGGATTTTGTTCAAAATGATCCATTTGTTCCTACTCATTCTATTAATAATAAATAATAAAGTATTCCTACTCATTCTATGGTACTAAAACTTTTGGCAAGGATTTCGAAAATTTCTTGACTAACAAGTATATAAGATTCAAGAACTGGTATTGGAAACATGATTCGCTACTAGAATCTTGAGATACAAATACTTTGATAATTTAAATGGCAAGTCAAATAAGCCAAAGCTCATAAAAAACTCAAAGAGCTAATTCAGTTACTTCAAGATGGGGAAAATATTAAAGAGAAAAATTCAGACATGTATGAAGAATCCTTTGAAATATCAAATGAAGGAATCTATGAAAATTCACCTGAAGAATCCCTTAAAATATCATATGAAGAATTCTATGAGGATTCATCTAAATAATACTTCTAAGTATTAAATGAATAATCTTGTGAAAATTCATCTACACAATCCTTTGAAACATCATTTAGAAGATCCGATGAAACATCATAAAAAGCATCATATGGAGAATTAGATGAAGCATTATTCAAAATATCAGATGAATCGTCATCTAGAAAATAAGATGAAGATGTAAATGTTTTCTTTAAGAATACCTATGAAGATGAAGACGAGGTAACCACATTTTTTCTATTAACAAATGTGTGCTTTAAGTTTTAGAATATGTAAAGAAAATGATTAGTTATAAAAATGTATTGTGGATTATAGGAATCATGTGAAGTCTCTTGAAGATGAAAAAGAAAGAATCTTAGATGAATTAAATCAAATAAGAAGAAATGGTGTAAATTATGCTAAATTAAAAGCAGATGATTCTTTAAAAACGTAAATTGAAGATTTGAATGAAACTTTAAGTGAGTTCACTATGAGAAGAGATGACCTTGATACAATTTTATATAATAAAAGAGCTTCTTATAATAAGTCAGGTTTAGATTATCAATTGGATAATAATGCTAAATCATTTATGAGTATATGCATGCTGAAAAGAAAAAGATTCATATTGTTTATAAATGTGATAGTTGTTATAAAACAATTCACCTTTTTAGAAACATGAATTATTTAAAGTGTTCTAAAGGACTCAAAGACTTGAGCCGTCTTATATATACTAAATCTAAAGGATCCAAAAAAGATTTGGGTACCTAAGGTAAGAACCTTATATGATTTTACATGAATGCTTTGCAGTACTAACGGATGATAATAACAAGAAATTAATGTCCAAAGCATGCATTAATTTATTGTGTCATTAGAAAGATATGGCTCTATCATTGAAATTTTCTAAAAGAATATTAGTAAAAGAGTACATGGATTCTAAAATCGCCTTTCGTAGAAAAAGAGAATTAAACTTGTTTCATATTGGAACAAAAGGGAATAAAGCTCTCTTAAGTTTTATCCTTGTTGGTTGGTGAAAGAGGTAAGCCACTTTGTAGAGAACAAACTCGAAAAACTTTGATAATTCTTCTAACAAGTGCTAAAATATCGCGCCTTCAATTAATTTTTTTCTACTAATTATTTGTTAAAAAAAATGAAGTTTTGAGCAAAAAGGGGGCCAAAAACCTAAATGGGGAGGTTGCAATAACAATATGGGCCCTAAAATTTTTCCAATTCCAAAAAAGAATCTAGACGCTCAAGATTTGTGCCTATGAATCAATTAAACCCACAAGTTAATCGTTTAAGATAGTTTGAAATTCAAATCCCGCACCTATTAATCAATTTTAAATATGATATTGTAATCGATTAAAACCTAAAAGGATGCGACCGTTTTAAACAACAAATCAAGAATCAATTGACATTAATGGCTTAATTGATTAAAACAACTTTTAATTGATTAAACATGCTCTATAAATAGGCACTCTTTCTGACACTCTTCTTCATCACTCTCATATTGTTCTTCTTGCATTTTTTTTCTTGTGTTCTTTCTTTTTTTTGTGATACTTAAGTGTTTTCATCGTCACCAATACTAAAAATGACACCAAAAATAACTGTTGATATTTTATTTGCTCCAACATATGTTTTAGATGATTTCTCATCACAAGAGCAAGAAATCAACTTCATTAAGCATTTTTTCCGAATGTTAACTCATCCACGCACATTATGTGGATGAAAGCTACTTTGAGAAATTTGAGTTCTCAAACTCCTTTAGATAAAGCCACACTGAGAAGTTTTATATGTGGCAAGCCTGCTGAAATGTTTATGAAGCTAGTAAGGATGTTCGCATATCTCTGCTACAAGTAGAGATGTCAAAATGCGTCTGACCTGTCAAATATGCTCATTTTATCTGCATATTTTATGGGGTGGAGCAAGGTTTTAGGCCTGCACCCTTTAATGTGTTCGCCCCACCCGCCCCTTTTTTTGCAAAATTTTGTAGGCGTAGGCTTTTACACACAGTTTTGCAAATTTTAGGCCTAAAAGGTCTGATGCCCGCGGGCCCACTCGACCCGCTTTCACTTTTTGCGGGGCGGACCGAGATTTTAGACTCGTACCCTCAAATAAATCCAACTAGCCCGCCCACCTTATTTTTTACGGGTTAGACCTAAACGAGGTGGACATGTCTGCTTGTTACTCTTAGCTGCAATGATAGGGTAATCATTACTGAGATATGTAATACTCGAATTTATCTTTCTTTTGATGAATTTGTTACTATTTGTGATCTACATTGCGTCGAGTCCCTCTACACCTCATAACCACCTAGTTCCATAAAAGATTTTGACTTTTCTCTTCTTCTCAATCACTCTTCATTGACCCATCGGAAAGTCACATATTTCTTCTCACTATAGAATTTATGACTCCAAATATCTGTCTCATTCATTATGTGATTACTCATGTACTAATCCTTAAAAAGTTGAATCATGGACAAATATCTAAAACAAACCTACAAGATTAAAAATATGACATTAATTTTTAATGACATAAATTGAATTTTTTTCTCCTCTACCATGTTATTACAATTTTTTTTCTATAATGCCATCATTTTCAATAAATATACCATAATATCATGTTTTCAAAAAACCTGTATTTTTGATACAAGGCTGCCGCCATTTCAATGGACGGAAGAGTTAAAATATTAAAAGGTGACGCCCTTTCAATGGGCGGCCGTGTATAAAAATTTAGACATTGTCTCATTTTCAATGGGCGGCAGAGTACATTTTTGAAATGCGCCGCCTTTTCAATGGACGGCAGTGCTTACGTGTCTTTTTTTTTTGTTTGAAACTATGACAATATAGTATATTTATTGAAAATGATGACATTATGGAAAAAAAATTGTAATAACATTGTAGAGGAGAAAAAAAATTCACATAAATTATATCTTTTATCCATACAATTTTATAAATGAACACATTATCAATTTTAAACAAAAAAATAATAGATATGACCAAAATTATTTGAATTTAAAATAGAATAAATAATTCCGTGAATAGATAAAATAAAGGATGAAAACAATAATTAAATTTTGTTAAAACTAAATTGAATTTTGTAATATTGCAAGAAAATGTCTGGTTAAAGCGTCATTATATGGGATAGACCGAGGAAGGACAGAGCCTCTGATAACTCCGTTATTAAGTACATAATAATTCTGTAATGGCCTCATTCTCTGTAAACCTCACCACTTCACCTTCTCCATTCATTCTTCAACGACGTCGTTTCTCCAACTTTTCATCCTCTACTCATCATCAACTACAAGTACGTTCTTCCACTCATCAATTTTTCTTAATTTTCTCACAACTTTTTTCATGAACTCTTCTATTCAATTAAATTTTCATGTTTCAAATTATTCCTTTGTAGTTTAGTTCATACTTGAGTTGATGCCTCTTATTTATGGAATTGAATTTTCTTGATGGTTAGTTTTACTAATTTTTATTAAAAATACTATCTTTCTCTTATTCAGGATTCACATCTGCAAAATAAAAAATTTGGGGCTTTCTTATTACTGGGTTTCACACCATTTTCTTTCAATTTGAGGAGGAGGTAATAATATTCCATGTTTCACACTTGTCCATCATGTATCTTATGACATAACTTATATAAATGCTTATGCATACAGGTTACTGAGATTAAAGAGAGTGTAAAATAGTTTTACACTATCATCTAATAGAAATTCATTATTTAGTCATGTCATATCACTAACTTAAAAATATCAGTGTGATTTGTCTTGTTATGCCGGCTCAGTTGATAGCTGTGTGCAGGGACATCAGGGACGCAAGTTCGAATCTGCGACATGCCACTTGTTCACCTTTAAAATGTGAATTTCAACCACCAGGCTATTGAACAAAAAAAAATATCATTGTGATTTGCCAGAATATACAATATTCATTGGTTGACACTATAAAATTATAAACATACTCTTAATTTTTTAAAATGTTGTTACTTTGTCATTGTTGTTTGGGGTTTGGTTTTACTTTGGTTATTGTATAGTTGTTTGGAGTGAAAACTGGGTAAGTGGAAAATGTCAATGTATCTAAACAAATTTTATTGTTCCTAAATAAGTTTCCATTTTCAATCATACTAGCATCTACTGTGTAGTCTTATAACATACTCTTATTGCTGAAGCTGTCAATAGTAAGTTGGAGTGTTTGAATCTAAAAACAGGAGAACTTTGATGTATGCAGCCAATCAAGATTCAATGGAAGTAGTGAGAGAAACCGACAAAACTAATGGCCTGATAGGTGTATTGGGCGAAGTTGATTCTCATCAAGTAAGAATAGGGCTGAATTTTGTAACTTGTTTCTTATCCTTCCTTCCTTTTTATCCTGCCTTTCCTTGAGGTCATCTGTTTTTGAATTTTGAGTCATATGCGCAATATTAGGTGGTTAGAATACCAATTTGGCTTTTCCATATTATGATGGACTTCAATTTTTCTCAAGGTACGTGACAAAAGTACCAAAGCTTGGTCGCAATTTGCCAAAAGAATATCAGGTGAGTGGGATGGATTTGGAGCAGACTTCAGTAATCAAGGGAGCACAATTGAACTTCCGGAGTATGTGGTGCCTGAAGCATATCGAGAGTGGGAGGTCAAAGTATTTGATTGGCAGACTCAATGCCCCACTCTTGCTAACCCAGAGGATCATGTTCTCGAGTACAGGTCCATTCAGTTACTTCCCACGGTTGGATGTGAGGCTGATGCTGCAACGGTATACAGTTCAGATGAGAGAAAAGTGAGTGGCGAAAACAGCGGAGTTACCACTTTTGCCTACCAATCGAGTGGCTCTTATGTTGCTGTCTGGCAAAAGAAGGACGACGTAATAGAGTTGGAATACTGCTTGATCAATCCTCAAGATTTTGAATCTCGGGTTAGGATTATTCAGCATATCCGTGTATTGAATAATACAGAGATGAAGCTACAGGGTGTAAGAGTATTTCGTGAGCAGTGGTATGGACCATTTAGAAACGGCAATCAACTAGGAGGTTGTGCCATTCGCGATTCCGCTTTTGCTTCTACAGCACCTACGATTGCTTCAGATATTGCTGGTATCTGGCAGGGTTCTAAAGCTGTCACCAAGTTCGGCGCTACAAACACTGTGAGTGCCAAGGATCTCTCTTACCCTTTGTTTTTCATATATGTATTTTTCTTGTTTTATCGGTTTCATTACACGGCTTTCTGTTTAACTCCAGGAGATTTTTCGAGAGTTTTTAGATGACGGACTGCAGAAGTCTGTTAGAGATGGAGAAAACAATGTATTACTTCCAAAGCAGCTGTGGTGTTCGCTTAAACAAAACAAGGACGGCGTAACTATAACCGAAGCGGGATGGCTTTTAGATCAAGGGCAGGCGATCACATCAAGTTGCTTATTCTCAAGCAGTGCAAAGCTGAAGGCAAGTTATATATTATTGTTACTGGTTTTTACTTGTGTGTTTTAGTATCTAACATGATCATACTCTTCATTTTTTTACAGGAAATATCAATAGCATTAGAAACTAGAGCCTCGGAATAAGTAGAATAGCCTTGGTGGCAAATCGATTCTGATCCAAATTTGTTTATATCTCTAAACGCATAAAATTCCAAGGTGAAATTCATCTAATAAATATGATAAATTTGTTGTCAAAATTTGGCATTATTTAAATGACTCATTTAAGTTTGTGTATATAAGCTCTATTCAGTTTCCATTTCTTCTTGTTCATGGTAGCTTGTTTCAGTTGAAGGTTTCTTTGCATGTTTAACTTATACTGCATGCAGATGAATTTTAGTGTTTTCAAAATTAAGTTGTCATTCTATGGACGTTGCATTTGATGCAAGAGTATGGTTTGAAAATCATCTTACTTTCTCTAATATCTAAATTATTATTGATTATCATCTAACTATTTATAAATTGTTCTATAATTTTTTTTGTATGTATTTTATTGCTATTAATCATTTGGATAGAAGTATAATCCTAGTAAAATATTATGGTGAAAATTGATCTATGTAATCGATTCTACTTAGTGATAAAGATTGATCGTTGTTGTTTGTTAGTATAATTTTGGTAGAACAAATTGATCATGTAACCGAGCCTACTCGGTGGGATAAGGATTGATCATTGATGTTTGTTAATGTCATTGTAAATCAGATAAGTTATGTGCGAAAAGAACTACTATATGAATGTCTTGTACACACAATAGGTATCTATGAAAGTCAAATTTCTATATCATTAATCATATAACAAAAAATAGTGACATTAATTACACTTCAGGCGATATATAACTTTGTTTATGGTGGAAATTTTGTAAAAGAATATGCTAATTAGTGATATTCAATTTTAATATATTTTAATAATTCTGTATAAATATTAAAATTCTTGTATTTGGATAATACTCAACTGACATGAACCTCCTAGAGTCGAAAGTAGAGGGGTTTCTTACTACTGGCTTCTTTGAGGAAGATGTGCCTCTTATTGGCACTCTCTTTTATTCAAATATTATTGTAGGTGTTAAATATGTAATTTATTGTTTTAAAAATATTAAATTTGATTTAAAAAGATTAAATTTGATTTAAAAAGATTAGATTAGATATTTTTGAATTTTTATAATTTGGGCTTTGCTTTGGGGTGCAAGCTAACCTAAAACTATAAATAGAGAGAAATTCTTATTTTGTAAACATTTCATCTCATTGTATTTTGTAATTCACAGTTTGCAGTTGCAAGTGAAATAATAGAATTTCCACAGTTTGTGGACAAAAAGTTCTCTGCAGAAAATTGTCCATCTTCTTCTTCTCCAATGTTTACTTTCTTTTTTTTTTTCTAAACTTTTCTTTCATTGTCATTACGTGAGTTGAAGCAATCTTGAGATCAAGATTGATTGAGTGAAATTCTTCATAGATTGTGGTTGAATTTCCAACATCTGGTATCTAGAGCTTCGGTTACGATTCAAGAAAGGAAATCCGTGATGGCGATGAATCATCCAAACAGTCACTTTCCGACAAACCTTTCAATTCTCAAGAATGATAATTATGAGAATTTGTGTAAGCAAATTAAGGTGGTTTTCTGTTATCAAGATCTTTAGGATCTTGTGAAGGGAGAAGTAGCACCGCTTGTAGAAAACGCGACGGATCAAGAAAAAACTGCATTCAAAGAATTGAAGAAGAAAGTATAAACTCACAATAGAACCTATTAATTGCTTCAGATGAAAGACAGTGAAAGTATAACAAATTTCTTCACTAGAGTTACAAAGCTGGTGAATCAAATCAAGGTATATGGAGAAGTGTTTACATCAAGATCAGTTGTTGCAAAGATCTTGAGGTCGTTGGCTCCAAAATTCGACCACGTGGTAGTAGCCATAGAAGAGTCGAAAGACTTGTCAACATTGACGAAGGAAGAGCTTCAAGAGACACTTGAGTCTCATGAACAAAGGATGACTCAGAGAGCTACAGGAAAGTCGAAGAGTGATATGGCTTTGCAAGCGCAGTCAGAAAAGGAAAGGAAAGGAAAAGGAAGTTGGAATGGCAACAAAGGTAGATGAGGCTACAACAATTCGACTGGTCGAAATCAGTAGGAAAGAAATTGGTCGAATCAAAGAAAACCCTTGAACCAAGGCAACCAAAGAGGTGGTGTTGTAGGTAGAGGAAGACGCGGTGGATAAAAGTCTGGCAAAAGTCATATTCAATGTTTCAATTTTCAGAAGTATGGTCACTATTTTAGTGAATGTCGAGAAAATAAGAAGAATCAAGAAACTGATGCAAAGATGGCGAAGCATGAAAAAGAAGAGATGTTGCTAATGGTCACAACATGAGACGAAGAGAGATTCCAGGACTAGTGGTACTTGGACTCAGGATGCTCATTGCACATAATTGAAAGGAAATATTGGTTTATCAACATCAAGTCCTCGTCGAAGAACATGGTGAAATTTGCAAATGACAGTACTCTAGCAGCTGAAGGTATTGGAGATGTTTTGATTACGAGGAAAGATGGCAAGAGGTCAACAATTTCCAATGTGTTGTACATACCAGGCATGAAGAGTAATTTTCTCAGTATAGGACATCTAATCGAAAAGAACTAAAAGGTGTCGATCGAAGGTAAGATGATGAGAGTTCTCGACGTAGGTGGTAGTTTGATCTTGAAGGCTCTAATGTCTCAGAATAGGACCTTCAAGATTGAACTCAATGTGATGGGGCACAAGTGCCTAACAACTGCAGCCAGTAGAGATGAATGATTATGGCATTTTCGACTAGGTCATCTCAACTTCAATGACATCAGAGAGCCAAATAGAAGAAATATGGCTTCAAGATTACCTGAAATTGACATTCCAAGTGAAGTTTTTGAAGAGTGTGTTCAGTCGAAACAACACAATAATAGCTTCAGCAAGGATGCAGGAAGGAAGTCGAAGGCAATTTTGAAAGTCATATACTCGGATGTGTGTGGTCCAATCCAGGTGGATTTGATTGCAGGCAACAGATACTTTGTCACGTTCATAGATGATTACAGTCGAAAACTATGGACTTACCTCATCAAGAAGAAAAGTGATGTGATCGAGGTATTTGCTAGATTCAAATCTATGGTCGAAAGGCAGAGTGGTCGAAAGCTGAAAATTCTGAGGAATGATGGTGGTGGAGAGTATGTGTCGAAAGAGTTCGATGCATTATGTGAAAAAGAAGGGATTGTGCATGAGGTGGTGTCACCCTACACTCCGCAACAAAATGGAATTGCAGGAAGAAAGAACATAACAATCATGGACATGGTGAGAAGTATGTTGAATGGAAAGCATCTACCCAAAGAATTATGGGGAGAAGCAGTTTCGACAACAACATACATATTAAACAGATGTTCGACGAAGAAGCTTGAAGGAATCACACCAGAAGAATGTTGGTCTGGTGTCAAGCCTAACCTCATCCACTTGAAGGTGTTTGGATCTATGGCACATAGACATGTGCCAGATCAGTTGAAAAGGAAGCTTGATGATAAGACAAATTAAATGATCTTGATAGGATATCATTCAACTGAAGGTTACAAGTTATTCGACCCAGTGAATAAACAGGTAGTGATCAGCAGAGACGTGATCATAAATGAGCTTAAAGAATGGAATTGGACTGAGAATGTCAAGAAGGATTTAGTGAAAATCTCTTGTGAAGAACCAACCACTGAAGTTGAAAGTGAAGTTCAACAAGAACAAGTCAGAGACGAAGCTGGCCCAAGCAGGCCTCGATGAGCAAGACACATGCCTGCAAGGTTGCATGAATGTGTGATTACATCAGATGATGTGGTCGATGAAGAATGTGAGCTGCTACAATATGCTTTCTACGCAGAGGTCGAACTAGTCAATGCAGCTGAGGCATTGAAAGATTCGAAGTGGGTGAAAGCAACAAATGGGGAGTTAGACCCCAAGTCAACAACACCTGGTCACTTGTCGATTTGCCTCAAGGAAAGAAGACAATTGATGTGAAGTGGGTTTACAAGGTGAAGGTGAATCCTAAAGGAGAAGTAACTCGACACAACACGAGACTTGTGGCGAAAGGATTTCTTCATAAGGAAGGAATCGACTTCGACGAATTTTTGCACCTGTTGCTAGGATCGAAACAATCAGATTAGTTGTTGATCTAGAAAATATGAACATTTGGCACACATGTCAGATGGACGTGAATTGTGCATTCCTTATGGCCCCTTAGACGAAGAAGTTTATATTGCATAATCAGCTGAGTTTGTGAAACGAGGCGAATAAATGAAGGTGTACAGGCTGCATAAAGACTTGTATGGACTTAAGCAAGCTTCGAGAGCTTGGAATATGAAAATCGAAAACATATTAGCTTTCAACTTGACGAAGAATCCAATAGCACACAATCGAAGAAGCACATCAAAATGAGGTTCCATTATCTTCGAGAATAGGTAGCAGAAGGGAAGATGAACTTGAAACACTGCAGAATTGAGAATCAGATTGCAGACATCATGACGAAGGGAGTGGTAGTCGAAGTGTTCAAGAAGTTAAAGTCTATGATGAATGTAGATAGTTTAGATACAATGAATTAGATGGTGTGTTAAATATATAATTCATTGTTTTAGAAAGATTAGATTTGATTTAGAAAGATCAGATTTGAATTAGAAAGATTTGATTAGATATTTTTGGGCTTTTATAGTTTGAGCTTTGGTTTGGGGTGTAAGCTAACCTAAATCTATAAATAGGGAGAAACCCTTATTTTGTAAACATCTCATCTCGTCTCATCATATTTTGTAATTCACAGTTTGCAATTGCAAGTGAAATAACATAATTTTCACAGTTTGTGGGCAAAAAGTTCTCTGCAGAAAATTGTTCATCTTCTTCTTCTCCAACGTTTACTTTATTTCTTTTTTTCTAAACTTTTCTTTCATTTTCATTGCGTGAGTTAATACAATCTTGAGACTAAGATTGATTGAGTAAAGTTCTCTATAGATTGTAGTTGAATTTTCAACAGTAGGGTGAGAGGTTCGGTGAAGACTTTTAGAAAGTGGAGAGAAGATGAAGTGGTGATTTTAATGGTGGGTTGGAAGTTTTA